AAACCATTTTTAGCTGCTGAGAATACTAGTGTTCTAATCATTTTGGCCAGCGCTGTATATATACACACACAGTGGTAGGCTATATACATATATTTGTACACACACACACACACACACACACACACACACACATATATATATATATATATATATATATGCATATGTGTGTGCATTGAGGGTATAGACAATATTTGAACAGTGTATGCATTCCCTGGGAATCGAACCTAAAAGCTCGGTTGCAAGCGCATGCTGTAGAGTTTGAGCTGCAGCACTGATCTGTGCCTGAGTCAGATTCACACGTTCGTCTGGAAGCACACATGAGGTATCTGCATGAATCCGCCTCTGCTAAACGCCCACACACACGCATTATCAGCGCCGGACCTGCTAAACCAGCCTCCGAGACACAAACAAAGAGCCAATGATTGACAGCACCCGCCTGCTGGTGTTTCTTGGGAAATGTCTTGCTGAAGCGTCACTTACGGTCAGTCTCGCTCCTCGGCTCCTCCTCTTGTAAACCGGCACGGAACACAAGAACAACCCAGCCAGCACGGGATCACTCCAGAGTCATAGCTCAGCACAGTTTGTTTGTCAGACAGGAATCTTGTGGTTGCATTCACACAATCACAGGACGGCCTTGAAGTCGCAGTAACCCTGATGTGAACTTCCTCTGTTCAGATACCACATGCACAACAGCGAAACTCTGAAAACCACAACGCAGAGAACATTTGCGCAATCCAGCACACATGCACACGCGGCAGGCATGTTGAGACGGCTGCAGAGGATCATGGATGTTCAGATTGTGAGGCATGTGCTTACTGAGTCCATCAGAAGTCACACTGATATCAACAGAAAGATCCACCCCACTGCTCGGCATTGATTAAAGGTCCCATATTGTCAAAACTGAAATTTCCTGGCTTTTTTCACCATAACTGAGGTCTAGGTGCTGTGTAACTACCATACAAGTTTCAAAACAGTCAGTCCACAGTAAAATGCACACAGCCTGCTTAAAGTAGCTGTGATTTTTCACGAACCGTTGTGACTTCTGTAAAAAGTTGATGTCAGAACTACACAGTCACCACCCCGAGCACCGCCCACCGTCCCACTCTCCTTTAGCCACACCCCCAGACAACATCACATCCATGCCATTGCTGAGCAACAACAACAACACCGAAACATGTCGAAAAGGTTAACTTTAACCACGAAACCAGATCGGCCGAGCTGTAACGTTACACTCTCACTCAAAGGATGGAGGATCAGACAGGATTGTTACTATGAGGTGGATCACATCTATAACCTGTAAAGTAAAGACAAACTCACCGTGTCTATGGAGTCATGATGAAGATGTTTATACATTTCAATTTCAGCAGGCAACTATTTTTACAGCTACATTATTGTTCCAGCCACAATTAATCACAACAATATATATACAATTACACATGATTATATATAAATCGTCAGTTTGTTGTTTTACAC